TTTTATTTTTGTTTCACTTATATGTGTTGTGCATAGAAGTTGCGTTTTCATTCTCGGACATTCATATACACACACACACACAAATATGACGAAAAATAAAATGAGCGTACTGAGCTGTGTATTGCGATTACCTTCGTCTTTTTTTTCTCTCTCTCTGGGTTACCAAACATTTTTCATGTGCACCAAACCACTCATTCTCGTTAGATCGAGCAATTCATATTTATTCGAACGCAAACAACAACCCAAACACATTTTGTCGCTCTGTTCTCGTACGTACATATTTTTCCGTCTTGTTTGCGGACTGAAATTAAAAATCGACAAACAGCCCGTAGTCATACTCACTCTGGCACTATGTGGAAATGGGTGTGAAGGCGGTAGGTGGAATGGCGAAAGAGAGATAGCATGTAGTTGGAATCGCATTGAGTTTTTGTGACATTTTCATCCCGGCTCCGGCCAAATAGATTAAGATTAAAACTGAGAGAGCAGAAGATACAGCTAACCGAATTGGAGCCAACGAGAAAAATTACACGAAGATTCGATGTTTTTATAAGCGATTTGTTGCTAAACAACTAAAAAGGGATAGAATACACCGAGTAGGAAAAAAGATGTACATCGATCTATCTGTGAAGATAAAATATAGAACAGCGAACGCTTCCTTGGCCAAGCTGCTGAAACTAGAAAACATTGGCGAATTTTACGACGACAACGACAGCGGCAGGTAAAATTGCGATAGAAGAAAATTCATTAAAGAACTCAACGCTCAACATAGGCAATACCCAATTGATGTTGTCTATATGCATACGAAATACGAGCAGATCTGAAACGGAAGAACGCCGTTCGCGTCAAATGAACAGCGAGCAAAGGACATGAAGAGGAAAAATTGTGCCGAAATCAGGTAAATAAAAGCTGTTTATGATGTGAAATCGTCGTCAGCAGAATTTCGATTAGCAATCAATGGTGTTAATCAGAGGCTTCATAAAATTTAGCGAAGCGAAAGAAGCAACAACAAAAAATGTGGCGAGTGAACGTAAATGCAGTCATCGTCAAATCGGAATTGGAATTGGCTTCGACAACTTTTATGCCAATAGATCGATGTAGTCGTCGTCGTCGGCGTCGTCGTCACATAAAAGCCGTATGGCAAATGAAGGTGCTATTGATAAAATTCTTATCACAATGCCAAGCGAAATAAAAAGAGCGAATAAAATATAGACAACAATGGCAATGAGGCGAAGAAAAAAAATTATTACATACATGTATGTCAATGCATTCCTTAGTCATTAGCATTTCTTGGGCGATGTAAATACGCACATCGATGGCCCAAACGATTTTTACTCATTGATTTCCGTGTGGTATTTTTTGTTTGTCGGTTGAAATAGAGAGAGTGTGCCATTTCGAACCATTTTAATGTATGAATGTGTGTGAACGATGGCTGTGCAGAGTCGTCCTTTCAATTGTATGTTACGATGTACGTGCAGGTGCGTCTGTTTACTAATCGTGTGTAGTGCGTGTTTGCTCACTCATTTTTATTTCTCTGCGTTGGCTCTCATTTGCTCTCTCACCTATTAACACTGCACAGGAATTTCAAAAAAAAAACGGTAACAAGAAGAAGAAGGAGAAAAATAAAATCGCTCTGATAACGATAATAGATGTTTTTACTGTTATTGTGTTGATATCATTTGGCTCTTGCGAGCGCACATATGTATGCTGGAGAGAGCCGATGCCGCAAATACAAATGATTGCTATGGAAGAGTGAAATGGTTGTATGCGCGCCCAACTCAATGGGTGCCCAACCAATATAAAACACTAAACGGGTTTGATTTTTTTCCTTGTGCCTGAAACATACGCACATATACACTCTGCCTCTCCCTAGCTCACGCTTTACTTTCTCAAACTTTTTTTTTCGCTGTCTGTGCACTGAATAAAAAATGCTGTGAAAACAATAAGCCAATCAAAAATGCTCTCGACATTGCTGTAGCAAATATAAAATAAACACATCAATGTACTGGCATGCACGAATCCAAAAACGAACAACCGACAAAACGCACAACCCACCAACAACACATCCAAATGCCTCCACACATGTCCCGAATCCAATTGATTACGAATTTAATACATTTGTTATCATCTCACTCTTTCATTCGCCCCACACTACCGAACACACTTGATGATGATTGCACGTTAAAAATGCTGTTTTTGCGTAAATATTTCGCGATTTTTTGTTTCTTTGGTTTTGTTATTGTTGTGTGTTCTTCATGTGTTACATTTTCCATGAAAGTCGAAAACGGAATAAACGAACGATTGAGAATAAAAATGGCCGATTTTCCTCATGACAATTGCATAAACTGCTGCTGTCTGGGTAAAGAATGCTAAATCGAATTGAAGCTGGAGTGTTAAGCTTAAAATAACACATAAAATACAGAGATTCTTCAGCTAAAACCCTCTCGAACAGCAAGCACTATCTATGGCAACGAACGCAAGCATTGCGTGTTGTAAAATGCTTGGAATTGAAGATACACATTGCTCATTGCCGTGTCAACATTGTGTGTGTTTGTGAGCGTGTGAGAGAGTGAGAATTGGAATAACAAACGCATAGAATAGGTTTCAGGCTCACATTAAAACTCATGCATGAAACAACGCAAACAAATCAACGAAAATTTTATCTCTTTGTTTCATTTTGTTTGCCATCTCACTCTTGCATTTGCTTTCCCGCTCTCTTCCGCGTTCTCGCTGTATTTGAAGTATTTGTGTTGCAGAATGTATTCACGCTAGCGGGTTCTGTTATCTTATATTGAGCCTAAGCCGCTTAAAAGTACCTGCCACACAGCTAGAGCACACACACCGCAAACGAGAGAATGAAAGCAACAGCGAGATTGAACAGAAAAAAAACAAGAGCGCGCGCGAACAACCGATTCGAGATAAGATTATCTTTTTTACTTCAGATATCGTGTTGATACACACCAACACGGTACACCGTCTATGTTTTGTAATCGAAACAGGTTGAATCAAGGGAAATAGACCCAACGAACTAAGAATTCCAATGAATTTTGACTAATAACAATACCAATGCTCCGATGGACGGGCACGGTGTGCGTATTTTAACCACATACACATGTGTGCACACAATACGAGATAATCGACGAGAGAAAGATAAGAACGGGAAAAAATAACAACACACACGAAACAAAAAAATCCACGAAAAGATATGAGCAATCGTAACCAATTCATGCAATGAATTTCACGTATCTCACTTCATATTTGGTGTTGAGCATTTAGTTTGCGATTCGAATGTAGGGCGAGGTTTTCAATTGTACGGTACAAGTGAGTGGCTATTATTTCTATTCTCATGACGTGAAATGAAAAAAAAAACATTTCAACAAAAAAAGGGAAGAAAAACGGTTAATTCATTCAGGAAACGATTCTAATTAAAACGGATCGGAAAAGATAAATTGAGCAGATTCTCGGTTTGTTTTTCAAAACAAAACAAAAATTGTTGAAATTCGAGAAGTAAGAGTGTTCAAACTTTGTTCAAATACGATTGTTGGTGATGATCTATGAGCTAGATTGGTGCTACTACAATTAATAATCCTTCAAAAGCAAGAGAAAAGCCAAATCGAAAGAATAATATTGTTTTTAAAACCTTTTCAATAATTGAAAAGGAAACCGATTGATTGGACGTTTTTAGTTACGGCTCATTCACACATCGTGACAAAATATCAGTCACTTTAAGGAATTTAATAATTTAACAAGTCAGTTTTCCAAAGTTATTATGTTATCTGATTGACCTGAAAATTGTTGAATTGTGCGTCTTACGTTGCTGGAGAGAATTTTGTTGTGAATTTTATCTGGATTTCATTGACAGAAATCTGCGAGTTCTTTTCGAGACGACGAACACAGTAAAGTGGGCAACATAAACGTGCGACAGCAAAAGGGGAGCAAGTGGAAAATAAACAAAGCAGCCAAACCAGTTTGGTTGAACGAGAGTTGAGCACAGATAGAAGAACGAGCAAACGAACGAAGAGGGTTAAACAGAGATCGGTGACATGGCTGGAAAAGGAGACGGTCAAGGGGCCAGCATGGTCAAATTGGAAAATCATATATCCACCATAAAATATTCCATATTCTGTTTCAACATCATCGCATGGGTACGTATCAAGTGTGTTCGTTTTGTGTTTTTTTATCTTGGAGTGTTTTGTTCAGCATCGCACCTTTGCCGTTTCACCTTTTCCATTAATTGAGCCAGAAAATGTGCTCAAACACATGACCATAAATCCATATGCAGTGCTTTAGAATTGGTATATATTTCAAAAATTGAAAATCAAATAGAACAAGTGGGACCCAAAAAAAAATGGTGCAACGAATGAATGAATGCAAAAGCAAACCATTGAGCTCAATCTCAATATTGGCTATGGTAGGAAAAGTGAAGGAGGAGGAAAATACCTGCTACTCTTTTCCACGAAATTCAAAAGCAATGCATCATAATGTATTAGTCGTGCGGTGATTCATTGCTATGTACGAATCGATGTCGCAATTCAATTAAGAACCTGAAAAAAAAGAAACAGGTACAACGATTTCCATTCCAACTGACGACGACGATACTCCGTTCGTAGCGTCTACAATGAGTACACACTGATAAGGAACGGAGAATAATACAAAGCTGAAAAAAAACAGCAACAACCTAAAGCTAGAAAAAATGTCTTACTCATACCCGAACACCACATTGTTGAACATACCAAGTCGATACGTTTTGGAAACAATACATATGTGTAGAGACAGAAAGAGTGTGAGTGACACACCATTTTGCCGGAACGGTAAGAATTTATCACTGTTCACAACCCACACACACACACACACACGCACACACACACAATCAACATATGGATTGCATGTTTAACACATTTACGCGACACTATCGCACTATTTCAACATTTTTTTTCGTGTGTACCATGTACACATATTCATGAGCTTAATCGATTATGTTGCAATATTGCATGAACATACAATTGAACGAAGAATTAAAATACAACTCGTCCATAATTCTCAAGCAAAGAAAGGACCGGATTTTTCGTTCTCTTGCTCTCCTCCAGCGATAGCAACGAACGATTTTTTTCATCATTTGGAATACCATTACATATTGAAATTTTCGCTACAAAAGTATACCACCGCTTCAATGAATGCTGAAAATTGTTCATAAAAAAACGTTGTTAACAGCAAATAGTCAACAAAATGGATTTTGTCATCATTGAAATGGATGACTTGTGATGAAGCTACGCATTTCTTTTTCCTTTGTTATTTTTTTTCTCATTATTTTTTTTTATATGCGAAACGAATACCATTCGAATCAAAGGATTGTAGTGCTTCTATCAATTGCCCTTCAATCAATGTTTACCAGGCTAATTTAAAAAGACGGAAAGGGGTTAAACCCATGAATAAAGATCTCATCATTTTCATACACCAACGATTATTTTGTAAATTCCTTTCAGTTAGCTCGTAATTAAAAGAAATTAGCTCGTGCATAACAAATTGATTCGTACATTGTTATTCGCCTAATTGACATCAAGTGATATAATAAGTTGAATTCGTAAGATTAAAGGCAGAAACCTAGAATTATATGGTGTGCAGCAGTGAGCTGAACAGAGACACAAATATCACTCTATGAAATGTGGGAAACATATTCGTTGTTCTGCAGTTTAGCCCCAAATCAAAAACTGCGTTTGAAATATTTCACAAACTCTCATAAATGTGGCTTAGCCAAAAGCATACATTTTGATTCAAATGTTTGAAAGAAATTAGATCGTGCATAAGAAAGATTTTTCCGAACACTTGTTACGAAATTCTGGATAGAATCACTGCTATAAAGTTGAAAACTACCCATTTCGCGAGCGATTCTTCTAAAATATATATACGTTTCACCGTGTGTATTTAAAACCTAACGCAGGCTATAGCACGTACGACAGCTCATTGACAGCATGGTGATTCATTAATAGGAGTCACCTCGAAGTAAAATAGGCAGGCAGAAAAAGCGTAAAATGAATGAAAAGCGCACGATTTTAATTTGGTTTGCGTCACCTGAGTTGTTTAATATGAGTCAGTTATGACATTGTTTGAATAGTTTTGATTTTTTGTGAGTATCAACGTCATACGAAGAAGAGATCGAGACACTCGCAAATACTTTTGTCATACACAAAGCAGCAAACTATCTATGAAATTTCAATTTTAATCATTTCCATGGAAACTATTTTGTGCTAAGAAAAAACGCAGAATGCATAGACACACAACAACAACACAATGATATCAATCATTTTATGTATGTGCTTCTCTTGACGGTTTATTCCTATGCTGTTGTTGCTTTTTCCATCATTTTGATGTTTGTGTTGTCTGAGCAACTGATATGACCGTTGTGCTCAGTGATTTCATCATTTTACATGGCCTCTGTTGAATGTGAACACGGTGCATGAATTGAATAAATCTCTATGCATGCGTTATATTTACAAAAGGTGCATATTCTATCTATGGGTGAGATTGAGAGGAGAGTAGGTTTTTTCTGCGGAAAAGGCGATGATGTTTTTTTATGATTCTGTTGTTGTTGAAGGAGAGTATGTCTCGTGTTATGGTGGTTTTTCGTGGAACTGATAAGAGATACATTTTTGTAGGAATTTTGTAGAGGATCTCAATTATTACAAACTTTGCTCAAGACACACAACCGTTATCTCTAATCAGTTCGGTGAAAAAGCATGAACAACCGCAACGACCACCAAAAGCGAACCTACTCGCTCTTAGCCAAGTCAGAAGAAACTTACTCTCCTCGTTCATAACAAAGTCAGTGAAACATATTCAACTTTCAATCTCACCATTATGGTGTCGCACACTGTATTCATTTCATATGGCAATGATGTTCATAGTGCACACGCGACAATAGTGCTCTGTTTGTACATTGACGCTGAACTTTTATTAATATTCGAGTGATTCAAAGCATTTTCATCTTCAATGAACTTTCCTCTGGATTCAATTTTTTTATAGTTGTTGTTGCTGCTGCTGCTGCTGCAAATATACAATCAACCCCTTTTTACGTTCCATTTGCTTGTCATTTATGCACATATAGCAAGAGAAAAAAAAGCGTTTCACGTATTTGAATTGACGAACGTCTAGCTTTTTTCCCTCTTTCGACCGTACTCAAAAGAATCCATTCCACTTTTTATATCAAATAATAGAAAAAGTGACAATATACCGAAGGGAAACGAAGCAAACCGCGATATTATGGCAACCAAAATGATTGAATAACTGAATGCATTAATTCGATGAAAGGTATTGTCAACGTACAAAATGAACAACCCAATATGAATGGAATCGGTGGGTTTTTTTCCGCGTGCGCACTTTTCAGTTGCATGGATTCAATTTCAAACTTATTTAATCGATGAATGAGATTAAAATGCAGTCAAACATGTGCTTGCTTTGATTAACTCTTGCTATTGAATGATTTTATCTCGTATTTGTAAGCCCATCATTGATTTTCATCCTCATATGAACCCGAACAAAAAATTGCGTTGACAAAATGCAATTTCGAAATTATTTTTTTAGTATTGCTCTTATTCTACGCTATCCAATCAGAATCCGTTGTCGTATATGGGAAATAGAGCTCCATTGGTTATGTGAGCGGAAGTAAAATGATTTGTGGCTTGGAAAGTGAAGGGAAATTGCTTTGATGAATATTTCAGTATTTATTCTATCTGCCGGAAAATAATATGTCTGGCAATCAAAGTGGAAAATATGCAACTTCTCTTCGACTCTTTTTTTTGCATGTCATAAGGACAGCAGAAAAAAATGCATGAAAAAATCCGTATACGTATTAGAGATTATTTTCTTTTTGTGTGTGAGACAAGTGAGAGTTGAAAAAACAGTGCATTCCATGAGCAGCGAACATATACAAAGACTTCAATCCACATGTTTATACCACAAGAGATAAAAACCGATTGGTCATTTCGATTTTCCAAAAATGTCGCCTCTTCAGCGCAGCATGCATTCAATATTTGTCACATTCGCGCAGCGATTATGTTCATAAATCTTTGAGCTGCGTAAAACATGCTGAAATAGAAAAGTAAAGGAAAAACGCCGAGCACCGCCCGGTTGCTTAGTGGACTGTGTATGCATTAATGTAACTGTACTGACTCCAATTGCTAAGCTCAAAAGTAGATAGTTAATCAAAAGGCCATAATAATGCTGAACCGTATGAAAAACGGTTGTGCCCGCGTGCGCTCTCTGATGAAAGCTTAAGATATAATCAGCCGACCAAAATATGTTAATCGTCGGTATGGTAGCTCAAAAGAGTATTTCATTTTCTATCTATCCATCGTGTGCCTCTCTCTCTCTCTCTGTGTGTGTGTGTATCTGCATGGAAATTAAATCGCATCGTACAGTCAAAGTAGCTCCAGGCCGATGATATGCATGTAAACGTGAAGCCTATTGGCCAGCATCAACTAGGCAATATTGATGTCGTACATATGGCAAGCCACTGCGAAGATTTTTTGCTCATTTTGCGAAAATTATTATTTGGTATGCATACGTGTGTTTATCAACAAGCATTATTCACATCTGTATACGATCGAAATATGAATTTTGTATCTCATTTGCTCATATGGATATGCCAGAATAAATTAATTGCATGAGTTTAAATTTTTTTTGTTTGGCTTTAAGAAAAATCGACAGAAATAACAAATGGAATGACTGATTACTCTCTGTCGGTAAACAGGAAATAGAAAATTGCATATGAATCGAATGGAATCGAATGGAGTCCATTCATAAGTCAAATCGATGCCAGTATATGTGTTGAGATTGGATGCGATGACTATTTGCCAATTTAATTGTGTGGGTTCATGAATTCGTTTTGTAATCATCAAAGTTCACATCAAATACCGTCTGCCAATTTCTTGAAATTCTCGAGAACACACACTGACCACTCGGTAAACAAAGTACTCATTCAAAGCATATATCGAAACCGGCAGCAGTAGCTAGAGCAGCTACTTATCATATAAATTGAATCAAAACATCAAAGACCCAATATATACACACACACACACATACACATACACATTCTATTGGTTGATCATGCATTTATTCGCTGGTCCGCAAACGTTAATGCAAATCTCACATAGAAAATTTTCGTAGTCGTTCCGTTCGCATCTCACATCATAAAAAATATATAAAGAGAATGAATCAAAATAAATATGATGACATTTGAATAGAGTGAGCAAGCAAAGAAAATATCAAAAGTAAACCGCAAACTCTACGAAACGGTTCAGAATGCAAATTTCGCACAACCTTATGGCTTGGAACATTTTCGAAATTTGTGACATTGTACGAATGTAGTTGAGAGGCAAAAGCTACCGAATGGTGGATAACCTAAGTGAAATATTTCGATAATGAGTGGTTTTATGTCGAACATTGCATTCCTTCGACCTGTCTCTCTTTCACTCGCATTCAGCTCATTCAAAATATCCGCTTGCCGAACTTCAAAAATATGATTTACTATAGAAAATTCTTGCATTCAATCTTTCTTGCTCCAATAACAACAACAACAACAGTTGTCATTTTGCCATTTATCAGCGAAAGATTCTATTTTCACAACACATACACCCATGCACTCATACACCTAAATTCATTGCTGAATCGCTATATAAATTGAGTGAAAAACTCCTGTAAATGAATTGCAATGGCATTTCGTGTCATTTTTGTTGGCCCATCGGCTCAGTAGCGTCTCGAGTGCAGCATGTACACAAACACAAACGCTAGAAAGCAGTAGTAGCAGGTCGTTATTCATCGTACAATATCACACGTTCGTTGGCAGCACATTGATTGTACCACAGTTCGAATTCATATTCAAATGATGCACAATGAAAGTTCCAAGATTAGTAGCGTGCCTTAGTGTACTTTATGCATATATTTCACCACTGGTTCATTTCCATCGTATCCAGAGCAGCAGTAGCAAATAGTGAAATTGTATTTCGGGGAGCGAAATTCGTACGATGACGACGGCGAATGACTTCGGATATGTCTTATGCATTTGCGAACACCAAGAATGAAATGCCATTTTAGCCGGGGTTGCTTTGGCAGGTTTCGCCTACCGTATGTCGCACAGTTTTCGATTCTGATTACAGCCAAAATACGAACGACCAATGGAATGACTGACAGAAAAAGCAAATGCAAAAGAGAAAAGAGGACGAAACGACAGTGACAGAGATCATTCTCTCTTTGTTATTGCTATATTATCATCGTTCATTTAATATTCAAAAACTTGGGGATAAACTTTTCGGGTCTACAGTCCAATTTAATGAAGCATTTAAAGAAACTTCACTAATATGTTTTCTTTGGCATTTTCATTCGTTTATCTGTGTGTGCGTGGATATGGATGTGATTGTTCGGCCAAGCCTAAATAACATCAAACTCCTTCACGGTTGATGAACATTCAAACTATTTGCGTGCCGTCTTCCGTTTTTGAGAAATGATATCAAATCTATTATTTTATTGTTGTCGTTGGTCGAGAGAGATAGAGAAAGAGATAGAGTGAAAACGAAAGCGAGACCAAGACACTGAATATGGAGAGAACTAGAAGAGAGAAAAAACACATCCAGAAGCATCGGCAGCAAATCCAATCAATTAACAAATGAAAATGCAGTGAATCAAGAGCTTTTGTCCGAAGTAAAAAAATTTCAATAAGCATTTCAGACTTGTTTTTCAACAAGCTCTTGGCCTCATACGTCTGTCTACATTAAGCATGTCAATCGTGTTGCAAATGGGCAAAATTCGCCTTCAAATTATTTGTTTGCCAACATTCCGACGTCAAATGAATCGCTTTGGAAACTTTAGCCACCACGCAATGCCGAAGAATGAGAGATACTTTAAAGGAATGCCCAACTTAAATACACACAACACATATATATATATATATATATATATATATATATCATTTTGGAGAATGGGATAGAGGATAGAAAGATAGATAGAGAGAGAGAGAGAGAGAGAAAGAGTTAAAATTCCAATCGAAAATGCTGTGCACATATGCTGAATAGAGATAGAGAGAGGCGAGGAAGGAGATGAGAATGAGAGACTTATATGCTGGCACGATGACAATTAACAAGGGCACAGTTCGACGTGGTCGAAAGCTTTGATTTTAGAGAACAATAGCACCGTTAATAATGAATAAACACTGATAAATAAATAAATAACATGGTTATTATTACGAAGATGACTTTGCTGATGCTGAATCTGATTTTCTTGCAATTGCTGCTGTTGTTGTTGCTTGTTGAGAATTGTATTTTTGCTTTTTCCCTAAACCGCACCGCATCACACCGCACTACGCATCATATCCTATGAAAACGTGGTGGATGGGCATGTGTGCAAATGAGCGAGTTAGAGTGGCTGCTGCGTTGGCACGTACACATACAGACACACACAGGCACAGGCACCACATGATTTAAATCGTGTGTCGTGCAAATGTGGGTGTTTGTATGGTGATTGTTTTGTGTATTGAGATGGATTGCGAGCGATATAGTTTTTGGTTGTAAAATGACGCCACCAGTGTGTGAATGGGTTTGGAATGGCATGAAGGAAGCGCCAAAATACACGCTTCATTAATTCAGATTAGATTATGCGAATGACACAAGATGATTCACAATAATATTGCTGCTGCTGCTGCTGCTGCTGCTATGTGATTAAGACGTTTGCACTTTGTGTGCGTATGCGATTTTCATTTAAACTTCATTCATATTACTGGTTACTAATTAAATAATATATAATGTATGTCCTCGATGTATGTTCGAAATGAAAACTCGACTTGTAGTCACTGCCGCTGCTGCTGCTGCTGCTGTATTTTCCTTTTCGTTCTTGTTTTTGCCCTTGTTTACTGTTGTCATCCTTCAAATCGCATTCACACATCTCTTTATCACATTTTGGCAAGATCAATTATACCGATTTTCGAACCCAGCCCATACCATTCACAGCTCATTCGAAACAACGATGAAATATAAAAGCTCACAAACATATTGCATGACAAACGCATAATCTATTTCATGCAATGCAATCGCATACTCCAAAGGATGCAAACGAATATTGTTGAGACAATGTGTGAAATGGAAGTGAGGGTGAGAGTGAGAGCGAGAAATAGAAAAAGGTAGGGTTTGAGTAAGGGGGAGTGAGAGAGTGAGTAAAATAGGAATTATCGAATGATGTTGAACAAACGGTGCCATCGTGCAAAATGTTGTTATGTTCAGTGGAAAATATGGTTTTTGACTTGCTGGCATATTTCGGTAGGAATGCTGTAATAAATCCTCTTAACCGCCGGACAATGTACAAACAAATCGATTGACTCAAAGAGCCTGACGTTTGTGAGTGCGTGCACGTGAGAATGAGTGTGAGTGTGAGAGTGTGTGTGTGTGTCTGTGTATTGAGGGAGGAGAGGAGCGTTCGAGCGAGCGAGAGAATTTCTAACGGAACATAGAAGTTTTCGATATACCGGGACGAATGGAACAAGGTAAACAAAATGCATAAATGGTTTGTATTTTTTGGCCGCATTACTGCCAACACGTGCACATGACGGTTATTTCAAAATGTAGTAAATTGGATCTGGAAACTCGTGGCCAAACACATATAGACATATACACGCTCGCCCGCTCACAAAGCGAATATAAAGGCCTTCGCCAAACATAAATGACAAATAAACATTTCTCATGCTGTTATTTTAAAACTGTTGTTGATGTTGCTTTTTGCTCTTTTCCCTAAAATATGTGTGCTACACACGGTGCAGTCGGTGCAAAAAGAGATAACAGATGGATTTTTCGACAACGTAGTCGCGATGGTCGTTGTTGTATTAGTAGTAGGATGGCGAATGTACCATCGCTTCGCCGCGCTCTCAAAAATTAGTTAATGATAATGATAAATGATTTTGCATTTCACAGATCGTGGGCGCAATGATGTTCATTATGACTGTCTGGATACGTGCCGAGCCCGGTTTCGAAGAATGGGTGCAAATACTCAACATATACGTTTACTATGTTGGCATTTACATTTTAATTGTAGCCTCGGTGATTGTGATGATTGTATCGTTTTTGGGCTGTTGCAGTGCATTAATGGAGCACACAAGTGGACTGCTTTTGGTGAGAGTTTATCATTAATACCATCTGTAGTTTATCTACTCCTCCTGCCGTCAAATCACACAGACTGTTGATAGGTAAAACACTATTCGCATTCTCCGGGTAAACATTTGGATAACAACTTCTCTCAACAACACACACAAACACACACACGATGCCTGAGTGAGTTAGATGAAACGCGTGCGCGCGCAAAATTACGAAACATGATCATACTTAACAGATAACGATGGATAAATAGAGAAAGAGGGGGAGAGAGTCTATATATCAGTTGGTTCATTCATTTGATAAAATGGTCAATGAGTGGAACATGCAAAGCTAACCCAAAACTGTTTAAATATGAGACGAACATTGGTTCAATTTCATCGAAAACGAAACTGTGAAAAATATTTACCTTAATCGATTGAAGTGAGAACTTTTTGGCTCTTCACTTTTGTCGAATGTAAATAAAAAATAATCATATGTTGGACTATTTGCCAAACAATATGCGGAAGGAAGGTTGCGGAAGCAAGAGGGGGAGAGAGAGAGAGAAGATGATGAGTCCATCAAATAATGTTTTCTCGAGAAAAGTACTTCCTGTGTGTACTGTTTGCCGGATGTGATGGTTTGGTCATGACTTTTTCTAGAGAATATCACGCGTACAAATAATCAACTTTTTCTACCGTTTTTCATCTCTGGCGTTGACTATTCATTTAAGAAATTAACTTTTTTTTCTCTTTTTTTTACGTTTTCTTCTTTTGCACTTCAATTTGTCATCATGACGACACGACGACATCGACGATAATGATGGCACGGTTGTTTCTGTGTACTCTGTGCAAATACATTACGGAACAATAAATAAAATTACATTTTTTTCTATGTGAATCGCCTATCAAACATACCAAACAAACAAAAAAATTGTCATCATCGGCTGGCTGGGCTGGTCTGCTTGTTTTTGTTGATTCAATGATTCATTCGTACACGACGACAAATACACATGAAATGGAACTGACAACAACGACGACGACAATGTTGCGTGTGATGGGTATCCGTAGTTTATTGGAACTCAATGTTTGGCATTTGTCATACATGTGGCCGGATCGGCAGTTTTATTAGATTACAGTACATTGAATTCAAGCGTACAGCCGATAATTCGTGACTCAATGAGACGTTTAATCATGTCATCGGCTGTACCTGAATCAACGGCCGTTTTGAAAATGATTCAGGAAAATGTAAGTAGAATTCAAACACATCAAGCGAAGAAAAAGCAGTTGGGAAGGGAGAGAAAAAGAGAGCAACAAGAAAAGAATCTCTATATAAATATATAGACCGAGGCCAACCGTTGCAATCGACCGAGAATGGCACACATGCTCAGAATATTACAAATACACACACAGAGAGACCAAATCCAATGACAAAACCGAAAACTGGATTAAAACAAAATAATCCAAAGTGGAAAAATAAATGGTTTTCCACTAACATCAACATCTTGTTAAATGGTCTCTCTTTCTCGCACTCGAAATATTAGCTCATGGACGTGCTTTTTCTCGTTTACTTCTTTTTCTTCCTTTCATTCTAAATTTTTTTTACTGTTATCATTTCCTTTTAGTAGTTTTTTTATTTCTCTGTGTGTCATGCATAATTCTTTTTTTTTTTCATTTTGACTTTATTTCTTGTTCGGGTTTTTATTTGGACTTGGGTTTGTATGTTTCTCAATTTGGAAAAACATATTTGGTGTGTGACAATTGCAACGACAAAAAATAAAACTGCCCTCGTTTATTTGCACACCCATTCGAACGAACACATCAACAATACCAAAAACAAATAACATGCTGAAATGGGTGAAACAAAAAACCAAATATACACACGCGCTATTCAATTCAGATTGGTTGCTGCGGTGCAGATGGGTCTAATGACTATATTATTATGCGTCAACCATTACCATCAACATGCCGAGACACAGTAACGGGTAATGCATTTTTCCATGGTTGCGTTGATGAGCTCACTTGGCTACTTGAAGATAAATCCAGTTGGGTTGCCGGATTGGCCATGACACTTGCATTCATCTCGGTACGTATGATTACAATTTGACGAGAAATGAACACAGAAAGATGCACTGCGACTGCATTTGAAATACTCATTTATATCTGGCCTTGCCATTGTTGCAAGAAATGATGTAAAACGTTAGTTTTTTTTTATCGGATTCTTTTTTTCTCTGGTATATTTTTTGAAAATAGCCAAATTGTTGAATCTCTTCAATTATTAGGCTTTAGGCGTTTGGATTAAAAAAAAATTTGCATTTTTTTTTTCTATCAATTTCAAAATGTTCAATGCAGAAAATATGCGGTCGTTAAAAATTTCGATTCGATTGCGTGCGACCACATGGGGCTGTCTCGTTGCTTTCAACACCAGATAAACCAAAAAACAGTCATTTCTTTTCTATTTTTTTTATACTATTTCAATTTATCATTGCAATCATTCTACGCGTTGTTTTTTTCTTCAGAAGAGGCAGAAAAATAATAATAAAATAACTTCATAATGAAACAGTCGTATATCATTTGCACGATATGCAGTACGGAAGAAGCGAGAGCATGATAAAAATAGCTAGTTCTGTAGCTCTGAATCTCATTTTACTTATATATTTTTTCACCCATTTCTCACTCTCTTTAGGTCATAAATGCGGTGCTGAGCTTGGTTTTAATTCAGGCACTCAAAAAAGAAGAGGATGAGGCCAGAAACTACAGACAATAATTATTACGCTTTCGAAAATAAAGCGACATTTTCTGCTACCAACCATGGATTATGTACACATATATGTAGCTGTCTGTATCCACCAAACGGGGCGCTTTTCACACTTAGTTCGTCCAACGTTCATACATAACTTTTTTTTTAAGAAAAAAAAATTAATTTAACGTTTAAAATAATAATTAGTGGTATGACATTTTTTTCCTTCTTCTTGTATATGGCGAATACGTGTTCTATAGAAAGCCATGCAGGAAATTTAATATAGTTATTTTTTTTTTATTTTATTCGGTATATAATGAAATGAGTATAAAACATTCGCTTAGCTTCAAGTTCAGAATCAAGTTTATGTTTTAGTTTTTACCCACAGAGATCCATCCATTTCGACAATTGACAATAGAGACGACAGAATTTTTATGACGACTTTTTTTTTAACGCCAAATAAATTTTTCATGATTATATATCGAATGATCCATTTTATGGGGTACTTACAATTGAATATCAATTCATATTTTCACATCACATCCTTTTGATTAAAAACAGAAACACCGATATGCCATAGCTATAGAACAATTCACCTCTTTTTTTTAAACGACATATTTATTTTTAAGTTGGAATCGATTCAAATAAAACTCTGTGCCTTCCTTCAAGATATGTCGTTTTTATTCATGCCAACAGTTTTATGAACATTTGAGAAATTTATCGGTTAGAAACTGATTGAAATTGAGCATAAAATATTATGAGTATCGATCATAATGCATGTGTGAAAATATTGCTTTTTTTTGTTTTCGGATATGCTTGCTGATTGCGCAAATTAATTAAAACAAGTTTTCAGTGCATTCAGTGAAAACATATGTTGCCGGCCTTACGAATGTTAACTATAATAATTTTTTGTTGCTGGCGATGGTTTCGTACTATCGTTAACCAGTAAATCAATCAATAAATAAAATGAAATCTGATTAAAACCTAAAAATTACAAAAAGTTGTTTCAAGTATAAGTTATAGCCATTGACTTGGAATGTTAGCTTTTTTTCACTAATGCCATATGACATCATCGCGACGAATATGTTTAGTTGAAAATGATCACTCCTTACATACCACAGACAAGATGAAAAAGATCCCGAAAAATATTCTCATTGTAACAATTTTCGGCTGTTTGTTTCAACGGAAAAATATTTGCGCCCAACGATTCGTTCAACTATTTGAAAGCAAGTGATGACTGTAGTACGTAATTCCTATTTTATTCAATTTTAAAACTTAAACTTTAAATTTGCTTAAAATACAATTTAACGAAAAATTCATTCGAAAACAATGCGACGAAAAATTCTTTGGCAACAATTGTTCAAATCGTGTTTTTCAGTTTCTTATTTGTACGAATTCTTTTAAATATCCATTTACCTCAAAAAATTGCCAACGAGCAAATCGACAAGAAGTTATTGTTTGTGTTCCGGTAAGCAAACTATGCAAAGCGCTATTACACATCCCATTTAGAGTTGGCATTGGAGCGCATTTTCAGCTGATAATAATAATAATAATAACGGCACGGGTTAACGTCGATGAGATGACTTGTTATACCTTCCAAATGTCCAAATCGTAAATTTTCCAACAAAAAACCAACAGGAACATAAGGAAAATGTGAGCATCACCGAAAAAAAGGTAGGAAAAAAATCGGAATAAAAATGGCTATCGATAAGAAAACAATAAACGAATGCAAAGTTATGTAAGCGTAAGAAGTGGCACACACAGACACACACACCGAGCAAAGAAGGGATTTTGTCGCCAAGGTTTATCTGTCGTGCATTTTGTTGTGGTGCTTTCTATTTTCCCCTGTCAAACGTTTGCACTGCACACGTAAATTTGGTTTGCGAATCGATTGGCGATTTCAGAAACATATATCGTAGAAGAGTAAAAGAGAAACTGAAGGGATATGGTGAGAAAAGAATACAAGGTGAAAAGACAACACCGAAAAAAAACGATCGAATCGTTGCGCATACAAAAACCTAAGCTCATTCCGATTCAAGCAAAAATAAATTGAAACAAAATCGGTTGAAATATGCGAAATGTTCCGGTAATAGTTTTGGTGCCAAACAAATTTTACTTAGCCAACTTGTGTGTGTGTGTGTGGAGTCTGTTGCTATTTTTCAGTCTGCGACAAAAGAAGAGTCGCCTGAGTAGAAAAATGGTTTTCGTTTTCCGGTAGAATAGAGTTGGCGGCAATCAGCAAAATAACCATAGCTCGTGTATTTGCTTCGACAAACTACATACACACACATAATGGCCATATTGATATTCTAGACGCATTGATGCTTTAGTTTTGAATCGTTGTTCGTTTATTCGAACACCCAATCCCTTTTTCCCGCTCTCGTTTGGCTTACTTAAAAAGTGGAGCACGAGAACAACGGTAACACACAAAGAAATCGACGAAATGTGTCTTGCTGCTCGTTTTTTGTTGTTGTTGCTGCTGCTGTCTCGTGGCAACTTTGCAATATTGATGCATTTCAGCCGCTGAAGGAAAACAGAGAGGGAGAGAGAGAGAGAGAGAGAGAGAGAGAGACATACACACACACACACGCCAAACCCGTTGCTAAAGTCGTTAAAATGACAAAAGCAACAACAATCGACGCGGTGCAATCCAAACAAAAGCCATGCCAGAAATGAAGAATGCAACGGGGAAAAAACGGTTGATATATTCTAATGCCACCATGTCTAATACCTGAAGGGTTTTCAATTTCGTTTCGCGCATGGAAAAAACAACAGCACGACACGATATGAAAATTCAATCAGATTATGAATGCAAAGCATTTTTCTGTTGAAATGGGAAAAAAATTATGAACGAAACGCTGATATCTGCACGTGTAAAAAAGAAATGGCGAACGGAGAAGAAGAAAGAAAAACGAGTAAGAGATTGAAAATAAGAGGAGCGAGTGGGAAAAGGAGAGAGCAAACATAGTCGATGGGTGCGTCGGTGATCAACGGTGAATGCCACGGTGTAGAGACACCGTAACGGAATCAGTTGTCGAAAGATGCTGCCATCGCGATTGTACCACGGCATGGCGTACATTGTATGCGAAAATGCACGCTTTATTGCCAAGGGAAATCCATTTTATGCCGTCTACTAACTGCGATAATGTACGGATTTTTGGATAAAATGCGGGCAAATGAAAGTATCTCTCTGCACACATTTCCATGTCGATTTATCCGATGATGGTTTCAAAACAGCGGCTGATGGTGCTATTTTCTCTCTACCTCTCCGTCCCTTTATCTCTCTATCTTATTATCTCCCACCAATTTTATCTGGGCGAAGAAACAACCACATTTTAAGCTTCTCAGACGAACGATTTGTTGATTTTGACAAATAAACTCGGAATTTCGCCAACCGAATAATATCCGTGCAAGAGAAAAGAAAATGTTTGTTCGCACAGACAACCACTGAGCAAACAATTCATTCCAGATTTCAGCAAATGCAGCAAAAGAAAACATAAAAAAAATTCAGCACTAGATTAGAACAAACGACTTAACGCCAGTTAAATGAAGATTTTCGCCTTTTGCAACAGCAAGAACAATAAATGCTCGTCCGTATGATGGATTGAGGTTTGAAAATGTAATTCAATGTTTGCATAGTAAAAATTACGTAGCATTGCTAATTGCAGCAATAACATGGAATAAATAAGCACAAACACACCGAAAAAAGTGTGTGCAATTTAAACGAGCGAAAAAGAAACCAAATTCACGAGGTGCGGTTCTGGTCTCTCGTCTGCTTGCTACATTCAGCAGATACGTGTGGTCGACAAACGCTTCAGCTTTTCGTTCGGTGAGTCTCGAAGCAGGGAAAAAAACTATACTCATATAAAAAAAAGCAGCCAGTGCAGGCAACACAAACACACTAATGCCCATAAAAAAAATTCCGTCCGGGTTTGGTGAATGCATTTCCAGTGTGCATCACAGGAAAAGCCATCAATCAATGTTGAAATATTTTTCAACCTACACTTTTTTCCTTGGATTTTTCTATTTCGATGAAATTAGATTTTATCCACTTATACTTTTCTGGTTTTCTCTTCAAACCGCAATGCTTCAATTCACTTTGCTTAGAATAATTTTTTGTTTCGAAAAAAAAAAGTTTGTTATTTTGAGAGTACAGCTACAATTACCAAGGGGCAATCCACTCAAAAGTAATACATAATACCTGCGAAGTAATACGAAGTAATACTAGGTAAAAGTGGTATTACTTTTGATAAAGTAATACTCCTTTTAAAAATAATACTATTGTTTGAAAAAAGTAATACTAAAGTAATACAAGGTAATATTTACATTAGTATTACTTAAAGTAATACTAATACACAGTATTACTTTTGAGTAGTTTGCCCCTCGACAATTACACTCCGGACCTTTTCTCCCAAATAAGTGAAAATCTCGTTTTCACAACGACTTTTTTCGTAATATTCACCGCAATTGTATCGGTCCATATGTGAACGATGCTTGTGATGGTTTAGGTAGAAACGATCATAAAAGCAAAGTGGAAGAGAAATAATCACGCTTTTAAATCAATTTAAAAATGTATAGTTTTTGTGTGTCAGTGTTTTTGCTTATGTGTGGACACAACGATCTCCTGTTTTTATTTTGCCCTTAACTTTTTTTTCCACCCAACTTGTTTCTATTCATTTGCAACTGTCGAGTGGTTTTTGTCAGCACAGTACACACTGACTTGTTATTTTTTCGACCGTGTCAATTACCATTCTATTGGATTTTTTCTGCGTTAAATATATGTATTCTTTAAATATGCGCATTTCATCTATTTCAAAATTAAAATCGAAATGTATTCGTGAAAAGGCGGGTGTTCGAATTGTTTTAATTTCAACACCTTTCGATTTTTATTTTTTAGTGATATCATATGAATCAAAAAATGCTAAATTTCACCGGGGCATTGAATGAACGGCACGCATATTCTCTGTGGAAATTTAATGAACATAAAAGTTTATGTTTGGCGATGAGGCGAATGTCACATTAGTGATCAGTAGCGGTTCGATAGAAATTTGAACAAAAACACATTCACATAATAACTCGATGGCGATAGACGATGCTAGCAGGCGTGTACAAGATTGAATGCGCTTAACTGAATATTTTGCAGCTGAAAAAGATTCCGGCTCTGGAACATTCACTGTGGACAATATTGGTCGATGTAGATAATGTTAGCAAACAGCTCGTGATTTGATGCACACTTGCTTGAACTTGGTAGAACACGATGCAAACCGTTTTGCGATGTGAGTGAGTGTGTGTGTGTGTGTGTGTGTGTGTGTGTGTTTGTGTATCTTTGCCGTTTAGTACCCGTTTGGCCATCGTTGCATTTGCTGAATCTCTTTTTCTCTCTTGCAAAGTTTCAGCATTAACGAAACGTGAAAGCTTGCCAAATGTTCGATATACTACTATCAGGAATTTAATTATCTCAAGGCAAAAATGTTCGGCGTCCGCCTGTGTCGGTATTTACTGAAAGTGACGTTGGCCACATTGCAATGCACGTTGCAGTACACGTTGTGCAAAACCGTTAGATCCGATCGTCAACACATGCATACATGGTTTGCTATGAATAATGGCATTATCGAAACGGATGACAACGCTATTGAGTCTCTCTCTCTACCCCTTCCAATTGAATGGT